CCAAGGGTCTCTTCCAACCTAGACCATTCTATGATTCTATGATTCTATTCAAGGTGAGGCTCGACGAGGCCCTGGGCAACCTGGTCTAGTTGGGGGTGTCCCTGCTGACTGCGGGGAGGTCGGACTAGATGGCCTTTGGAGGTCCCTTCTGGCCCGGACAACTCTATGACTGAAACACCCAAGAGGGCAGGGGGTCACCCCGAGAAGTGTCACTATAAGGACGGTAGTGGCACAGCCCCTTTGCAGACCCAGGGGTCCCGTTGCAGCTCACCCCTGCAGGGCTCTGGGGCACTTACAGCAGTTATGGAGGGTTTCTTCCCATCTCCTGCCGGCGGGTGAGTGACATCGGCCCCGAGGAAGATCACTGGCTGCTGAAAGACCGCAGAGCTGGTGGGGGGGAAGAGAAAGCAGCCATCAGCCTTCAGGGGTCATCTCAGGGTGATGCCCAGCCCAAAGGAGGTGACAGATCACACAGAGGACACCTCTGGCCTGGGCACATCAACACCTCCTTACAAGGCAGACAGATGCAAATCTACTTTTCAAAGAGCTACTTTAAAAAGACCCCCCCCCTGCCCCAGGTAAAGCCAGGCAGCACCACTGGAGACTTGGGAAACAAGCCCTGAAGTACTGACCGCTGGTGAGGCACAAGGATGTTGTTGATCCCGCCAAGCTTGACGTTGATCTTGAGGCAGAGGTTGGAAAGGGTCTGCGGGGAGGTTTTCACCACGTTCTTGACCTGGACGCACTGGGTGGCCATTCCCAGGAGGGTGTCTCCAACACGCTTCACCTCGGCTGTGGGCAGAGGAAGCAGAGGAACCCATGGGAGATCAGTTTCCAGCAGCACCCTCGGCAACAGGGAGAGAAAGCACTGCAGGAGGAGCAGAGCCAGCCCTGCCGAGCCAGAGCAAAGCCCCTCTCCTCTCCTCTCCCCACTCCCCCTGCCCCAGACGCACCATACACCGGGGTTTTCCCTGGCAGGATGACGATGATGAGCTGAAGCCCCGAATAGGTGTTCTTGAGGTGTCGAAACATGGGCTCCACACTGTCTGCTCCCTGGGCGTATTTACAGAAACAGGGCTGGCCCTGGATGGGCATCCCCGCGTCTTTGGAGATCTTGCGCAGCTGGTCCGTGAAGTTCCTGTGCCCGGGAGGAGAAGGATCAGCCCCGAGCCCTCCCGCACGGCACCTTCCCCGGCCACCGAGCAGGAAGGGACCCACGGCTGGAGCGCTGCGGCACAGGACAGGGACATCACACCTCCACGTCTGTGGTTTCACAGCACCCAGCAAGCACACGGCAGGGGAAACACAAGACCAACTCAGTGTGAGAGCTGAACCGTCCCCTCTTGGCACCCTCTTACCCAGGAACTGACTCTGCCCGAGGAGCGACGGAGCCGTGAGCTGCTCCCCGTGGGGAAGGGGGGGAAGGGGGGAGCAGAGCTGCTGCCAGGGACAGCTAATTTCCAGACGATTTGCAAAACTGATTGAAGCCCTCACTCTCCAAACCAGACAGAGTGCTCAGCCACACTCGAGAATTTTGGCTTGAAGCATGAATTTGATGCAGGGAGAGCAGGAGGGAGCGTTGGGGCTCCCAGCTCTGCCCCAAAGGGGTCTTGGCAGGAGCGCGGTGTCACTCCCACCTCCACCCAGTTACTGCAGATGTAGGGACTTTGAGTGGCTCCAAACCTTCCCAAACATTAATCGTGCTGCACACCCAGAACAGGCACACAAACTGCTTGTCTTGATGCATCCAGTCTCGGTCAGGAGAAACCTGTCCCCAGCAGCATCCAACCCCAAGGTGACCATTTCACTAAATCAAATAAATCGTCCCCGCTCTGTGTCACTTTGCTACCGAAGCAGAGAATCTCTAAACTACCAAAGCTTTTCAGAAAGCCTAAGACTTCTCCGTAATAAAAACCCATGGCAAGTTTGTATGCTTCCTACATGAATTACATTATTTTAGATAGGGTATTGGGGAAACTTTTCATTAAATATCCCTCACAACCCCATTTCTCTGGGGAGATTCAGCTGAGCAGAGTTCAATACAGCTTTAGGGCTGTGGCATCAGATCCCGACAGCAGCCTGATGCAAAGAGCAGACCAAGGAGAGCCTGGGTGTCAGCTCACACGTGTCGGAGCGTGATGTGCTCACTCCAACCTGGCTGGCTTTGGGATGGGGAATGTCTGAGCCAGGATAAACAGTCAGCATAAACAGTCAGGATAAATGAACAGAAACAAGACTGAACACTCAGTCCGAACCCCGATCAAATCTGTACCACGAGCAATTCAGACCCAGTTAAGGATGAAGGACCTGCAGCCCCAGGCTGGGAGCAGCAATGGTGGCCGCACCACGGGCTCCCCCACCTCATCCCACCCACGGGGGGCTGCCCCTTTCCTTACTTCAGCACCTCCTCTCGACACTGCTTCTGCGGGGCAAAGCAGGCGATCGCCCAGACTTTGATCTCGATGCCGTTGTAGAACTGCTTCCCTCTCATGTCCCACACGCCCTGGTTGGGGGTTGCAATGGCCCGGTTCTGCAAAGGCAAACAGAGGGTCACAGCACTGCCACGTCCTGCCCGGCCCCACACTGGCACCCCCCATGGCAAAGCCCTAGACCCTCGCTGGAGCCACCTCCCTGTGCTGCCAGGGGCTGCCACAGCGTGTGGCCAGGGGCAATTCACAACCTCAGCCCCTCAAAGGTGATGGACAATTCACCTCAGCATCTCTCTCCCCTTCAGCTCACCTTTTTTGTCACCCAACAACTCCTGGCTCTACCTTCAGTACAGTTATGCTGCAAAAAGCCCCCACAAACAAAAACCCCAAACCCAAGGTGCTCTGATAAAAAATTCCAGCTCTAACCTACAGACCTGAAGGCAGCACAAGTTTTTGTGCAGAAACAGTGTTTTCTGGTGGGAAAGCATCTCTCTGCCCAGCACAGCCCCACGTCCTGCTTACCCGGCCTCCATACTGCAGGATGGGTGCTGGCAGGACCCTCCCTGTCACCTCCGTCATGTCGTCCTTCACCTTGATCCCAAACTCCTGGATGTAGGGGTCCAGGTTGTAGCTGGCGTTCTTCATCTGCGGAGGGAAGGAAGGGCCATGGGAGGGAGTGAGACCCAACTGCTGCAGCCCATGGGGCTTCAGCTGGTCGGGGACCACGGGCACCTAAAGTCACGTTCTCCACAGAGCTGGAGTCCTCTCCGTAAAGGGAAGGAAAGTGCTTTAACACAAACCTGTTCTTCAAACTGCCCCATAGGGGACCTGATTTTGGAACGTACCAACCAATACAACCAAAGCAGAGCATGCTCCTGAGATTTCAGGCTTCAGTGGAAAGGTTCAGACCAGCAAGAGACTGTTATCAAGATTCCCAGAAGGAATATCAAATGTCCCAAGCTTCGAAAGCCCAGAGACGTGGGTTTTGGATAAGAGAGCACCATTAACCAGCTCCTGCTGGTGCTGGCAGAGCTGGATTCCCCCAGCTCGCCCCAGGCTGACCTGTAGAGTTCCTGTACCACGGCCCCGCAACGCACAGCCCCCACGTACACCCACAGCCAGGGTCATTTCTCTAATTTGTTTTCCTATTTTTAGTTCCAGCTCCCTTTGGGTCAGGTTCCATCAGCACAAGGACCTGAATTTGCTGCACACGAGTTTCCACAGTCCCTTTGAGCTGGGCTCCTGTGTGCAGGTGTCCGTTACACACACAGAGGCATCGCTGACCGGGGACCCAATGAGAACAGGGGGATAAAACCAACCCATTAACCCCACCAGCACCTTCTGAGCAGGTCCCAGCTCTCCAGCGCAAAGCATCTGAGAAGTAGGACCACAACAAGGTTCACCACAGACATGACACCATAACCTGCCAACAGCCCACAGCCCCAGGGAGTGAGACCCAACTGCTGCAGCCCATGGGGCTTCAGCTGGTCGGGGACCACGGGCACCTAAAGTCACGTTCTCCACAGAGCTGGAGTCCCCTCCGTAAAGGGAAGGAAAGTGCTTTAACACAAACCTGTTCTTCAAACTGCCCCATAGGGGACCTGATTTTGGAACGTACCAACCAATACAACCAAAGCAGAGCATGCTCCTGAGATTTCAGGCTTCAGTGGAAAGGTTCAGACCAGCAAGAGACTGTTATCAAGATTCCCAGAAGGAATATCAAATGTCCCAAGCTTCGAAAGCCCAGAGACGTGGGTTTTGGATAAGAGAGCACCATTAACCAGCTCCTGCTGGTGCTGGCAGAGCTGGATTCCCCCAGCTCGCCCCAGGCTGACCTGTAGAGTTCCTGTACCACGGCCCCGCAACGCACAGCCCCCACGTACACCCACAGCCAGGGTCATTTCTCTAATTTGTTTTCCTATTTTTAGTTCCAGCTCCCTTTGGGTCAGGTTCCATCAGCACGAGGACCTGAATTTGCTGCACACGAGTTTCCACAGTCCCTTTGAGCTGGGCTCCTGTGTGCAGGTGTCCGTTACACACACAGAGGCATCGCTGACCGGGGACCCGATGAGAAGAGGGGGATAAAACCAACCCATTAACCCCACCAGCACCTTCTGAGCAGGTCCCAGCTCTCCAGCGCAAAGCATCTGAGAAGTAGGACCACAACAAGGTTCACCACAGACATGACACCATAACCTGCCAACAGCCCACAGCCCCAAGAGCATCCCTCCCGGGGACTCACGCCACGTACCAGGCGACTGATTTCCTCCTGCCTGTCTGGGGCAGACCTGGCTGTTGCTTTGATCATGGTTGACGTTTGATTGTCTGTGAGCTTCTTGATGCACCGCTGGCCTGCCACGATGTTGCACACCTGCAGGGCAGGGGAGAGAGAGCAGCCACGTGTCAGGGACAGGCGAGACACTGTACCAGCCCCAAAACGGAGGTGCCGAGCCTGCGGCTGCAGGGAAATGGCATTTTTACAGCACAGTTTCCTCCCTCCCTTACTAGAAGTGGCTCTTGCCAGGTCAACGTTGAGGCAACCACTGCCACAACACATCAGCTGCAGAATATTGTCACGCATCCACCAGCAAAGGCCACTTGCCTTGGCCTCACAGGGTGCCCAAACGCCGGGGTGCCGAGCCAACACTCACCTCCAAGGGCAGGTAGGTGTGCTTCTGCTCCTGGCCCACCTGGAGACAGGGCAGGTGGGGGTATTTCAGCTGCAGGTTGTATTTCTGCTTAAAGTACTGCGCCACGGTGCACTCCACTGTCTGACCGCTCTCCAGCTGCAGGGGGAACCTGGCAGAGGCAGGACACGAAGGATGCACCTACTGCAAACAGACACTTCCAAACCTCAAGCCCTACTTTGGCTGGGACAGAGGGGACTGGCAGCCTCCCGCCCCAGGCTACCACGAAAGAAAATAAAAAGCACAACGGTGGTATTTTCAGAAATTGAGTCAGGAATACTCTGATCCCAGTGTGGGACTGAGGTCCCTAAATAAAGCTCTCCCTCACTAATCCAGCTAATCAGGGCAAATGTTTATTGCAGGACATGCCAGGCATGCCCCTGTCAGGTACATAAATACAGCACCCTGGCACTCCGGAGGACTTGGGAGCTTGGTGCCTTCCCTGGGAGCCCAGCTGAGCTCCAGACAAAGGTTAACTGGCCTCTCCCCAGTACAGGGCAGTGGCCCCGGGGTGGGCAGAGCATGGGGGGCAGGGGGGTGCATCTCCCTTCGAAACCACAGGGAAAAAAATATCCAAGTTCCTGGTGGCTGGGCTGAGGGGTGCTGTGCCATCCATAGTGCATGATGCCCAGCCTCACCCTGCCCCGGCTGTTCCCAGCTCCATAAAGAGCTCCACGAAAATGAAGAATTGACCCGATATTCTTTATGGAGCCAAAATTAGATGGGAGGGCCAGCCCCCACCCCCGGCCAGGTGTCTCATTGCTGCGCTTGCCAGGGCCCAGGGCTGGGACCTGAGGGTGCTGGAGCACAGGGAAAGTGGGGCACATGTGGGCTTGCCAGGGCCCAGGGCTGGGACCTGAGGATGTTGGAGCACAGAGAAAGTGGGGCACGTGGTAACGGGCACATTAACCCCAACGAGATACACCTGGAGACGGGGTTGTGTGAGGAGGGAGTGTGGCTGTGGCCAGGAAGATGCTCCCCCTTTGGTACTTGCTCTGGAGCCTGACAGCACCAGCACCAGCGCCAGCACACTGAGCTGGTTTGGTATCGGGCAAGAACTGAGGAGGGATCTTCTGCCAGCACTTGGGTTTGCACAGCACGAGCCAAAAATTGCTTGTTGTGTTTTTCCTTTCTCTCTCCCATTTTTTTTATTTATTTTTTTTTTTACTGTTGGCAAAATTTCCAGAAACATTGCAGAAACCTTGGGGGGCAAACAGCCTGAAAAATATCCCTCTCTCCCTCCAGCTCCACTTCTGCCTGCACGGGGAGGTCTGGAGGGTCTGCCTGCTCTCCCCCCAGCCTCTGCCTCAACCCCATTTTGCTTCCAAGCCTCCCTGGGGGCAATTCCCAGTGATGAGCCCTGGAAACACCCATGGGCTGTGGCACCCAACAGCTCGGTGCTGCTGTCCCCATTCGTGGCGGTCTGCAGGGAGCAGGGCAGCCCCCCAACACGGAGGGGTGCCCAGGGAAATAATTTCAAGGCAGGGAATCGCTTTATTCCCTGACAAAGCTTCTGCTGTAGCAGCGTCTATTTTAAGAAAGAAGAAAACCAAACTCGGGAGGTAGAAACTAGGACAATTCCTGGCATGTCAGCTCCCGCCCGCTGCAGCGCGTCGCCTGCCAGACACAGCATCCTCTGCACTCCCACCCCCCCCCTGCATCCCGCTCGGTGCCGCCGCGCAGGACACGGCGCTGCGGGGGCTGCTGTGCCCGGCACCACGGCGGGAGCACCCAACACATCTCCTTTGGCCACGGCAGGGCCAGAGCTTCCCGTCCAGCTCTCCCTAACGACATCATCAGCTGCTAAAAGAGAGAACAGCTCGGATTTTTCCAGCAAGGGCATCTTTCCCCCCCCCTCCCCAGCCTTACGTCTGGTGGCTGGCCGGCCGCCTGGTAACGTTACACACACGGTATTTCCTCTTCATCTGCCCGCAGTGGGTGACCTCGACTTTCAGACCTGACACAAGACAAGGAGACACAGCAGAGTCACTGGCAAAGGTGGGAGGTGGTGCCCTTTTGCCCACCTTCCCCGGGACACCACCAACACCTTCCTTAAATCATTAACCGTTTGCAGAGCAGATGTGCTCGCAGATGCCCCACAAAGTGCCCGAGGGAGGCAATGGTGCCCCAGGAGACCTCTTAAATGCGCAGCCCCTGTGCCCCCCACCTCGCTGCAAGGGCTGGGGGGGAGACACACCATGGCTGGTGTCTGGGGCATTGTCCAGCTGGAGATGGGTCCCCATTGCTCCCCAGAAGCTCTACCTTTGATCTCCTTGGTGAAACGCACTCTCTGTGAGTCCGTCAGGGGCTTTGGCTGCTCGTCGATGTTCCGGATGTCCAGCACCTCACACATGAACTCGATTACGGGCTGGGCTTTGTAGAAGGCGGTGGCCGACACTGTGGGACAGACACCACGATGCCTCTCTGCTCTCCCCCAGCAGACGGACCCGGCCCAGCCTCCCCACACACACCCAGCCCCACCACCGCAGTCCCCCAGCGTGAAAAATACATCACCATCAATGTTGAGCATCATCTTCCACATGGCAGGTCTGACCGACTGGTGGAAACCGAACCAGACCTCCCTGCCACCTCCCAGGGGGTGGTAATAACCTTCAGGAGGGGAGAAGAAGGAGCGACCCACAGGAGTGTACCTGCAAACCAGGGCAAACCGTGTCCATCAGCACATGCCAGCCCCACTGGCAGCAACCAAGAGGCACCCCCAGCCCCTCCAAGCCACTGTTCACCCCACTGGCTGCATCACCCCGTTTATTTCTATTGCAGGAGCATCACAGCGACGGCATCGAGCAGCCACAGCTGCCTCCTCCCAAAGAGCTCCGAGGCCAGTCCCAGCCACGGCGCCTGCCAAGGGCAGCCAGTTCCCTCCCTGGCATGCTCAGTGCTCGTGGCATGGCCCCTGGCACACGTACCTCATGGAAGCCAGGTGCCTCATGGCAACATCCAGGGCCTGGACGGACTCCAGAGGGACCGGGATCTGCCCGCTGACCAGGGCTTCGTGCAGCATGCGCCAGCTCACGATGGCCATCCATTTGATGGAGACCTTGAATATCCTGTCCTTGCCTTCCCCTGGGATCGTCACCTCAAAGTCAACCTGGGTGCAGAAGGGAGGGAAAGGATCATGGCATCCCCACGGGCGCAAGGGGAGGAGGTCGTTTTGAGCTGGTCCTTCCAAGGCAGAAGGCACATCATGCTCTCCTGGCACGGGGCTGGCCGCCCCCTCTTACCCGCTCGTTTCCAATGGGTAAGGCCGTGACAGTGTAAATGTTCTTCTTCCCATCATAGACTGGCTTTCGGTCACCAAAGATCTGTGGTTTGAAGTGCTGTACCATGTACTCCACGACCTCCCTACGCAGGCAAGCGGGGCAAGAAAAAGGGGCAAAAGAGGAGAGAAGGGTGAGGTTTATTTCGCCAGCGTTCTTACAGCCTGACACCTCCTGTGTGGCCCCGAGCCCCGCTGCCCACGGCACTGCTGAGCCACAGGGCACCAGGGAGCAGAGCTGGGTCCCCCCTGAGGAAGGAGGGTCCCGGGTCAAGCAGCCACACATCTTTCCCCACAGCTTGGTACACGGGCTGTGGCAGGAGGAGTTTACAGACACGCAGGAATGTGCACCCACCGGAGCTGGCCACAAACCCACCGTGGATGCCAGGAGGGCGAGAGGCAGCGACTCACCACCCACAGGAGCATCTGCTCGCCAGCCTTTGGGGCACTGAGCTACCCAGGCTGCCAGGGCAGGAGGGGACAGGCAGCGAGTAGGATGCCAGAAAGCAAAACACAGAAAAGTACGGCACGGCCCGAGGTCTGGGGCTTGCTATTTTTAACGATGGGATTGTTGCCAAAATAGCACAGCTGCTTTGATGAAGCTGGGGACTGCGCTGAGGTTCAGGACCTCCGAGGCTGTAAGGGCAGGAACCAGCGCTGCTGAACAAACGTGGCTGGTGGGGTCCAGCCACCCACGGGCGCTGGGCAGGGCTGGAAACCCTGCCACGTCACCCCGATGGTTTCCACCGGTGAAGAGGAAGAACAGGCACTTATGGAGCCTCCACAAGGAACCTGGAAGCGGGGAACAAGTGCCAAAACCTCTAATACTTGCCTTACCTGTTGACTCTGCGTGGACATTTGTCAGGCTTGATATCCACTTCATAATGATACACATCGATCTTGGGAATGTCCACTTCAAAGTAGTTGGCCAAGAGCTTGATGGGCTTCCCAACGGTTCCTATCCCGGGCCGACGCGGCGCTTGAAATACCTGCTGCAAGGGTGGCAGGTATGCGCCTGCAGCTGCGGGAGAGACAGCGGCTCAGGAGGGGTGGGAGACACCCCGTGCCCAGACAGACAGACAGACACACAGACAGCACAGAGTCACGGCGTTATCCATCATCGCATCCCGATCTTGCTATTTTTAACGATGGGATTGTTGCCAAAATAGCACAGCTGCTTTGATGAAGCTGGGGACTGCGCTGAGGTTCAGGACCTCCGAGGCTGTAAGGGCAGGAACCAGCGCTGCTGAACAAACGTGGCTGGTGGGGTCCAGCCACCCACGGGCGCTGGGCAGGGCTGGAAACCCTGCCACGTCACCCCGATGGTTTCCACCGGTGAAGAGGAAGAACAGGCACTTATGGAGCCTCCACAAGGAACCTGGAAGCGGGGAACAAGTGCCAAAACCTCTAATACTTGCCTTACCTGTTGACTCTGCGTGGACATTTGTCAGGCTTGATATCCACTTCATAATGATACACATCGATCTTGGGAATGTCCACTTCAAAGTAGTTGGCCAAGAGCTTGATGGGCTTCCCAACGGTTCCTATCCCGGGCCGACGCGGCGCTTGAAATACCTGCTGCAAGGGTGGCAGGTATGCGCCTGCAGCTGCGGGAGAGACAGCGGCTCAGGAGGGGTGGGAGACACCCCCTGCCCAGACAGACAGACAGACAGACAGACAACACAGAGTCACAGCGTTATCCATCATCCCGAGCCAGGAGGTCTCCCAGTCCTGCTGGCAGGAGGTGGTGGTGGCAGAATTCAGACCAGCCCAGCTGGGGACCAGCTTCCCTGGGCACCATCCAGCGAGCGCCGGTGCCAGCCAAGCCATCAAGGGGCAGTGCCAAGCCCTCTGCTCCGCTGTGCCACCCCCAGCTGTGCCCATCTCCAACCATCCACCGGCACAGAAATAATCCCTGCTTTGCCTTTGGGAAGGTAACTCATCCTGGGCCACGCGTGGGGCATTCCTGGGGCAGATGGTTCTCCTGACACTGGAGGACAGGTTGTACCCAGTGTTAAAAGAGCTTTGGAGGCGCTGGCTATGCAAACAACCAGAATAGTGGCAAGAAACTCTCCACCTTTAAAAAGCACATAGAGGCTCATCTCTGTGCCAAGAGCTCACCACGGGTCTGCGGTGGCAGCAGCCTTCGCCTGAAGCACGTGGGAGACACCAGCACAGAGAATTAGTGGAGATACCTCAGACCAAGGCCAGTCTCCCAAGGCTGTGGGGTGGTTTTATTGTCCGTCCCTCTCCCAGCTCCTCTGGCAGCATCTCTGGGGGCATCCCCAGCATCCCCTCCTGCAGGACGGTGTTTTTGGACCCAGAAGCACAGAGAGGGCTGAGTGTGACCTGCCCCATAGCACAGCAGCGATGGTGCCATCAAACCTGAGTCCCGCTGGGCTCTGATGTGCAGAGCCTTCTTGTAAGGGCAGCTCCAGAAACAGCCCCTGCCTGAGAGCTCCCCCGCACCGAGGAGGTGACAGGGACTCGCTGGGTCGCAGGATGAGGAGAAATGGGGTGCTGCTGTGAACCCCCAGCGCTGCCAAGGGGCTTTGCCATGAACAGAGTGGTCTCACCCAACTCCATGCTTTACATCCACCAGTTGTGGCCGGTGGATACCCTCGACCCCCTCCATGCATTTTTCTCCAAATACATCATTCTTCAGCTTGTTGCACACCCGGGGTCGGTTTTAGCAGGGAAGGGTTTTGGGGGCCCCCTCGGTGCCGGGGTGGTCGTGCCGTGGGGAGCTCAGCCAGGATGCCCTGGCAGCAGAGGCAGCCTTTGTCCCATGGCCGGGCCAGCCCCTGTCCCACTGATTTACAAGCCAGCGCCGGCACAATGGGAAGGCTCTGCCTGGCGGGAGGGACCCCGTCTGCTCCAGGGAGAGAAATAAGGCCCCATCAAGATGTCCAGGACTTCTCCTGGAGGTGAAGCAAGGGGCTGGGGGGCTTCCAGCAGCCCCACCACCTCCCTCCCCATCGGCTCATGTGGCACCAGCTGTGGCATCTGCTGCCTCCGATGGGAGAGCAGCACTGGCTCCACCGGCACCGGGCGTCTGCCCCTCTCCAAGGGAATGCAATTCCCTGGATGCTCGGTCAGCAGGGAGCTGCAGACACGGGTGTTTCCCCCTCCATCCTCCACCAAACCGGCTGCCGGAGGGAGGATGCCACAAGAAACAGGAAACACATTATTGCATCTGCTCCACACGATTATTTAACTGCTGGATTTTGCCGGGTAACAGCTCGCTTGGGGTTTATACTGATTAACGGCACCGCTTCAAACTCCAGGTCGCAGGATAACCCAAATCCCAGCACCTGAACTTTCCTTTTATCCTGAACCCCTCCCCAGCGTAACTCTCAACTGCTGTTCAGCAAAAAAACAGAAGCCACATCGACGAGGAAGGGTAACTCCAGGGAAACTGCTGATAAAACCAGAGACAATTAACAACTATTTGAGGAAAACCTCCTATGGATTATGGGAGGTAGCGGGAAAAAAACCCAAACCGAAATCCCCACTTCAAACAGTGTGGACACCAAACCCAGAGGGGAAGCACTAGGTTTTCCACAAAGCCACACAGGGTTATTAATGAAGTTCTGGAGATGGAAGGACAGGTGCCACGGCACTGAACTGCTGTCTAGTCTACTGAAAACTCCTGTTTCTAAACTCACAGCAGCCTTGGACACAAAGGTATCTTAAAACATTACCAAAGAAACACCCAACCCCACTTGTTCAGCAAAAAAACAGAAGCCACATCGACGAGGAAGGGTAACTCCAGGGAAACTGCTGATAAAACCAGAGACAATTAACAACTATTTGAGGAAAACCTCCTATGGATTATGGGAGGTAGCGGGAAAAAAACCCAAACCGAAATCCCCACTTCAAACAGTGTGGACACCAAACCCAGAGGGGAAGCACTAGGTTTTCCACAAAGCCACACAGGGTTATTAATGAAGTTCTGGAGATGGAAGGACAGGTGCCACGGCACTGAACTGCTGTCTAGTCTACTGAAAACTCCTGTTTCTAAACTCACAGCAGCCTTGGACACAAAGGTATTTTAAAACATTACCAAAGAAACACCCAACACCGCTGCTCTCCGAGGTGAGATCTGCCCCTCCCTGCCCCGTTTCCACTTTGCCCGTTTCCATCTATCCCACCTTCCATCTCCTCTCCATTTCTCCAGCCCCGTGAGGTCTTGGCCAGCTGGGCCGGGTGCGGGGTGCGCAGCGTGGGGACACTCAGAGCTCTCCATCTGGGTGGCCAACTGTCCAAGACAGCCCCCAAACAGCGTCCCGGATCCAATTTTGGCTCCTGAACACATGGTGCTCTTAGCACCCCTTGCTCCCATCCACATGCTTTCTAAATCCAAATTTCAATTCCAGGCTAAAAATATCAGAAGCAGAAAAACAGAAGAGCAGCAACCTCAGCTTCAAATTTGCTTTTTACTTCTGCACACTGTCTCTGCAAGACTTTTCCTCCTGCTGGAACGAACCACCCCACTGCAGGACACCACGGGGATGGGACGCCCCTTGTGAGCATCCAGGGGCTGAACTGCACTAAGCTTCAAATTTGCTTTTTACTTCTGCACACTGTCTCTGCAAGACTTTTCCTCCTGCTGGAACGAACCACCCCACTGCAGGACACCACGGGGATGGGACGCCCCTTGTGAGCATCCAGGGGCTGAACTGCAGCATTGACTCCTGCAAAACCAACCTCTGCACTTCTGCCCCGTGGCAGGAGCCCCAGAGCTCCAAAACTTGCCAGGAACCCTGAGCCTGAGGTCAGCCTGGCCCCAGCACCTCCTTGGACCACGCAGCCCAGGACCGGGAGCAGTCCCACGAGCAGGACAGGGATCCTGGAGGCCAACGTGGGGCTCAGACCCCGCAGGCACTCACTGATGCTCCGGGACAGGGCGGCCACCAGCCCACCCCCCCGAGACAAAGGGCTGCGCCGCGCTCCAGGGGCAGCTCGTTTTAAGAAACTTGATTTTCAGATGAGCTACTCACAGTGTAATTCATGTCTCCACATGACGAGCATTTCTTGGCAATCGCCAGCTCCCTGGCTGCAAGCTGATGCATTTTTAAATCATGGTTTGCAGTCAAAGGGGTATTTGCCAGCGCTGCTGGAGCCTCCGGTCCCTGCTCTGCCTTGGAGCGAGACCCAGCACAGCTAGAGGACTCCAGCTCTCGCTGCCTTCCCTGTGGCCACACCAAGGCCAGCACCAGCAGTTTCTCCTCTTCTGCACCTTCTCCCACCCAAGATGATCCCAGCAGCCGTGCATGAGCAAGACGGCATCTCCACATGCCCACAGTGTCATAGAATCATAGAATGGTCTAGGTTGGAAGAGACCCTTGGGATCATCGAGTCCAACCATCTCCCCTACTCTACAAAGTCCTCCCCTACACCATATCCCTCAGTACCACATCTAAACGGCCCTTAAACACAGCCAGGGATGGGGACTCCACCCCCTCCCTGGGCAGCCTGTTCCAATGCCCGACCACTCTTTGGGTGAAAAATTCTTTCCTAATGTTCAATCTAAACCTCCCCTGTTGGAGCTTGAAGCCGTTCCCTCTCGTTCTGTCACTAGTTACCTGTGAGAAGAGACCAGCACCAACCTCTCTACAGTAGAGGTTGTAGAGAGTGAGAAGGTCTCCCCTCAGCCTCCTCTTCCTCCCTGTGACCCACAGCAGGTTTGGGGCCAGCAGGAGCCGCGCTGCAGAGGGACGGTCCCACATCCATCCCACAACCATCCCACAACCCCGGCACCGGGGTCAGCCCGAAAACATTTTGCCATATAAACCCTCTCGCCAGAGGATCACCAGATACTTTATGGATGTAAAGCCTGGCAATTAGGACCATGAATCAGAGATGAAGGAGTTCAGCCTCCAGCAACACAAAAGTTGGCTCAGGAGCCTGACACGAGCCAGGAGATATTGCAAACCCAAGATGATATAAAGGGGCAGCCTGGCTGGGGGCAGCAGCACCGCGACGGCAGGGAGATGCTCTGCAAAGACCAGGGCAG